CAAAAAATAATTTTTCTTGAAAGCGATGTAACTTGATATGTTGTGATGTTGAGGAATTATTTCTTACTTTTTTGCTACTAGGACTATTTGCTTACATATGTCCTCCTTCGACCTCCTCAATTTTCACAGTAAAACGCCTCTATGCTATCTAACCTAATAGGGACGAATTCTTAGCGCACAGCGGCTTTCACGCCGTACGCAGGCATTCACATTAACTTTCTCCGTTGCTGTTCTTCACTGATCCCACACAGCTTAACACTTCATAACACTTTCATAATCAGGCATGGATCTTTGTCTTAAAATAATAACTATGAATCATAACAAACTGCGACCTATTGCTATAGCATGATCTTAGACAAGATAATCAAGTTAAATCGCTATACATTTCCATTTTGAGAATATTCCATTGATATTGTAAAATCGAACACTAGGATTGATGCATAAACGCCGATAGGGACTATTTTAAAAAGAAAAAAAAATCTTCATCCAGATAAATCACCAAAATCTGCAAATCTGCTTTTCTCGTTCTTTTCCAATTTGTTTTTTAATCAGTCTAGTAATTCAGAAGTTAATTGAATAATTTTCTAATCTAAAATATTTTAATATTTTAGATAACTAAATTAATGTATATATTAGAATATAACTAAAATATTTTAATATTTTAATTGTGTTCTAATTTTAATTTCAAAATATTTTATCTTTAAAGTTGAGTTAGTTGTATTCATTTTCATAACTCTAAGAATTCGTTGCAGCAATGCTTAAAAGTCTTTCTCTTCGTCGGAAAAAAACTTTAATTTAATTTTGAGTGCTAAAAACTTTAAGTTTGTTTCTGAAAAAGAATTTCCTTTAATCAGTTAGATAAATCTGAATGCTTCGAAATAGTAATTATTTACTTATCTGAATAATTATCAAGTTAAATTGCGTGCTAATTTAATTTATGCGAAAATATCGCCGTTTTTCGAATTAAATTATTAGATGTTAAAACTTTACTTTTAAATGTCAGAAGTCAGAAAAATTATACTTTTTTTTATTGAATTGGCGATGTAAAATCTGAATTACCTTTCATTATCCTAAAGAACATTTTATTTGCTTCAAATACTTTTTCTTGGAACGTTTCTCATTTTAAAAAATAATTCCGTTGCATACGTAATTATATTTTCAAAAAGAAATTAAATCTTTCGTCTTACTGAAAAATAATATTCTCTGATGACAAAGCTCTTGTATTGAAAATAGTTAAATAGATTTTCACCCGAGAAATTGTGGTGGAAGCATTTATCATTATTATAATCACATTTTGATTCTTCACGTTTCTAGATATACAGTTTTTTTTCCTTTTACCTTCCACCGACCTATATACACAGGTAAGGCAGGTAATGTTTTGGGTCCAAAAATTGGGTAGTGTGTTTTCGGTGATTAGGCACAACATATTTTGCTAAGTGATATCTATCTGTCTCTATGTATGCATGTGCTCGCCGCGTATTTCGAGTGCCCCCATGACGCACAGATACTATACATTTACAAACATCCGTGCCTTCTCCAGGGTACGAAGTCGGGCCTTACAGTACGGCAGAGTAACTTACCACTATCTCGGTTGGGCGGCGTGAAGTGTTTAAGCTAAAATAACGCAACGCATATTAAGAGTATTTCTATTATATGTAGATATGATATTTATTTATATCAAGTAGTAGAAAAGAATGATTTTGATAATTGCGTTTCATTTGCAGAGTTTAAAAATTCTTGTGATGCAGGCATGTTACCAAAAAATGCTGTTGTTATTCTTTAGCACTTTTGATGATGATGAAGCACAAGAGCAAGTAAAAAAAATTTGAAAATACCTATTGCTTTACTTCTTAGTAATTCTTACTAAGTCATTATTCAGCGTAATTCCAAATACTAATGAGTATCTTATATTAGAAAAGGAAAAAAATATGTGCCATTGACCCGTTCAGCTGGTCTATGTTTATTAAAGTTTAACAATGCTTTTACTTGAAACACTGTGTATAGTGGTGAACTGTGAAACACTGTGTTTTAGTGTGTGTATAGTTTTCGATTAATTTCACGAGTTGATTTATTTTATAAATTTTAATAAAATCGTTGCGCTAAATTTGGTTTAATACTGGAAAATAAAACAACAAAATAATTGGTCTGCTTTCATTTATTCTTTATTGAATGTTTATTTATTATCGTTAAATTTTTATTTAATCTTATCGCCAAGTCTCAGAATATATATACAACTTTAAAAATTGGATCTGTTCTGTATTTTTTATTCTCCCATTATCTTTCCCATGCAATTCATACTGTATCCAGTTCCTTGCTTTAGCTTATTCAGTTTGTTCGAGAATCAGTGTCTTAATACTAGTTGCTTGCTAATTAATAAATATGGCAGGGACATACGTGCAGATCCAAATTAATTCAGAGTTGTTGATACTATAGAAATAACGTAGAAGAAAATTACAGAATGGTATTCTTTGCAAAGTTTTTATTTTAATGTATTCAAACACTTATTTTGAATAATTAAAAACCAATTAAATTGTGTGTTGTTCTACTGCTGAATAAAATACGATTTTTAATCAAACAAATTAAAGGGAATAACATTTGATTAACTGAAAAAAATTCATAAAAAGAATTTTAACGCATGGGCAATGAAATATAACCTAATGAAATATAATCTAAAATATTGTATTACGTTCCTTTTATTTTTTTGGAAGAGCAACTTAGACTTTGCTTACAAACGATCAACTGGAAATGATACTTTTAAAGCTTGTTACTATTTAAAATATAAAAATGGCGGCAGATGTGCTGCCATATCTGGTTTTTTTCCTAATTATATTGTTGATGTTACATAAGCTCCAGAACTATTATATTTAAAAAATCAGTAAAATATAGATTAATAATCATTGAAAATAGAGTGAGATATTTCTTAGCGAAACAGAACAAAATATTCATAATTTTACCTGTAAAATATTTGCAGTACATCAGAAGAATCTGTAATAAAAATATTCGCCGTTGATAAATGGTCAATCAAAAAATTGTCTTATATCAAGATACATTTATAAATTAATCAAGAGATATTTAGAAATTTTTGAAATAGTATCGAAACCTTTTCAAATGTTTTACCCCAACTCTCGATGATAATGAAGGAGACGCTCAGTCATGCAGGGTTTACATTAGAGTAAACATAAAATGATTTCAGAATACTGGTTTCACTGTATTCCATATTGTTACACATATACAGAACCCTTCTGTTGTCTCATACAAGTTTTTATAGTTTTAATAGCTTCGTGCAGTGATTGTAGTTGTTGGTCACACTTTCATAGAGATTCATGAACTGACTGTGAACACGACATATGCCTGACATTTTCCCATCACGGTTTTGCTTCTGCCAACCTCGCTGAAAACCCCTGCTGTCACCATCCCCGTAAAACAAAAATAATAATGATGATTCTAAATCAGTGGTCTGCAAACTGTGCTCTGCGGAACCCGAAGGTTCCGGCAGCATGAAAAATAAAAATTCGCAGCGAATCAAAATAGCGAAGCGGCAGCGAATCAAAGTAAAAATTCGAAAAGAAAGTAATAAAGCACTCATACTAATTAACTAGTGTTTATTAACTAAAAAATATAAAGCTACGACGTCCGTAAAGCTATTTAGGTAGTGATGTCCGTGCGAGAGTAGCTCCAGTTTTTCGATTTTTAGTCGATGTATATGCAAAAATGTTATGATGGCATTTTATTGTCATTAAGAAAATGTATTTAAGTAAAAAAAAATTCTCACCGTATGTGGCAATAAAAACAAAACATAGAAATAAATTAAATGTAGAGTACGAAATGTGACTGCAGATGACATCAGTAGAGCTAGACTTGGACAGTTTGTGTAAAAATATGCAAGAACAGCTTTGTCACCAAATATAATGCAAGGGTAAGTGACAGCTTGAGCTCGAGTTAATGTTATTAATGAATAAATTACATAAATTTTATGTTAACATTTTTTAATAAAAAATACAAATGCTTTTCTTTAATTATTTTTACATAAAGCGCCTATTACGTATTGATCTGCTTTAAATATTATTTCAAACTTTATTTTTAGAAGGGTGGGGCGGTTTTTCTCTGAAAACACCTTATAGTTCTAAGGGTTAAGTTTGAAAGCCACTGCTCTAAATTAATAGCAGAATTTGTTAATAATTTCATGTGTCTGACATGTGTTTTCATTTGCATGCTGCCGAAGTCGTTTTCGTTACATATTATTGCATATATTTTTTACTGGATTATTTAATTTTGAATTATTTACATTACCTTTTATATTCGTAACTTTATCTTATTCGCATATCTGTAGTAGCCCTTTGATGATAATGTAAGGAAATCTTAACCATATATATATGTCTCAAAGATATTATCTATTTTTATGCAAAAGAAGAAATCGCACTTTTTTAAAGACCTTTGTTGTTCCTGTTTATGCTTTTTATACTTTTTCCTAGTATTATAAGGTATTTTCTCCCTCCTTTCTCCATGCCTTCGCGGTACAATTAGTAACACATTCGGAGAGTATTCGAGAGGTCCAAGTTCTAGTCCCGGCGTGGGCATTGCTAAGTTTGAACTCCTCCAGAATCAAAAATACTTAATGTCTGTACAGTAGCGCCCGAACTAAAAGATGGTGTATGATGATTCTTCACCAAAAGGATTTTGGTTGGGTCCCCTAATCCTCAGCCACCCTTTAAAAGGGGGAGTATATTAAGGTATTTTCGCCTTCCTTCCAGCATGCCTTCGTGGTATAACGGTAGCACACTCGACACGTATTCGAGAGGTCCAGGTTCGAGTCCCGGCGAGAGCATAGCTCATTTTTCACTTCTCCGGCATCAAAAAGCCTAATGACTCTACAGTATGCTTTTTTTTTTCTTTTAAGAAAGCACATCTTCCATTTACTCTTTACCCTGTGATTTTCTTGCAGATTTCTGCAGTGTTCATTTGTATTTACAAATACTGAACTAAACTATTTATTATTGCAGGAGGATATCAGACAACCCGTTTACTTGCGATTGTCATTTGTCATGGCTAGCAGGCTGGCTGCGCCGTAATCCCCGTCTTGGACTGTTCTCCAAGTGTAACATTCCTCTATACCTGAAAAACAAGGCAATAGCTGAGCTGCATGATTTTGATTTCAGATGCACAGGTAAGTTTAACTGTTTTTAGTATAAATAGAAAGGTGACTAAGGCCCTGCGGCGCAGTGCCTAGCGCATCGCGCAGCAGCACTACTGATCCGGGATTCGATCCCCGGGCTGGGCAAAGTCGACTCAGCCTTTCATCTCTTGATTTCCATCCCTTGGGTCGATAAAATGAGTCCCAAGTTCGCTTGGGAACTAAACACTAGGCGTCCTACGACAAGCTGGCCACTTGTTCAGGGCATATGCTTACGCACCCCGGGGCACACGGTCAAGAAAGCAGATTTTGAGGCACTGCTAGCCTTAGCCAACTAGGGCTGTTGCGCGACTGAGTCTAGTTTAGAAAGGTGACTATTGCAAAGTTATCCAGCTGGACCAAAAAATACTGACGGGCATTATTAAGATTTAATCTTCGAGGTGTGCGTATAAAATTTATTATTTCAAAATTTACCTAATGGTTTAGCTTTATCTTAGATTACAAAAAGTTCAATGATTAAAATTAACAATCATGTTTTGTTAATTGCTTCAAGTTATTAAATTTCATTGAATATTTTTTAACTATTTAACATGTGTTTTAAATTTTTGGCGACCAGCATAGTAAACAATGTAATTTTTTCAGCTTTCGAAATTAACCAGGAAAATAAATGAGGTGTGGGAGAATAGAATAGATGGAATTCCAGAATTTTGGTTTTCCTACCGGCAAACTCTTAAAAAGATTTTCATATCAACAGATTTAAAAGCCACCATTCGCTAAACATTGCAGCCAGAAACATCCTTGTGTGCCTTGTCCTAGATTCCAGATTGTTTCGATATGCGTGTGTATTTAGCCTATCGTGTGTGCTATAAAGTCCGCTGCGACTAGGTAGAATTAGAGTAATTTCTAATTGGATTTATTCTAAAGACTTCTTCAAGATATGTTTAAATAGCCTGAGATTGTGTCCAAATTAAATTTTTGTGAAATTGAAATGAAAAATGTATTATTTAATGGAAGGATATGATAATTCGTTAGTGATGCAAATGAAGAAGCGTTTGTGAATTGCAAAATTAAAATCTATTTTCCTTCTGACTTTCTGTCTTCCGAAATTTGAAATGAAGTTTGTTAAACAGTTTGTGATCTTTGTGAATTAACAATAATACACCGAATATCTTCAAACATTTAGAATTTCTCTGTATTAAAATACTTCATTACTTTATTTTGTTTTATCTGTTTTATAACCGAGTTGCGTAGTTTCCGCTAAAAGGCCAGCAAAACAATAAAACCAGATAGCAAGAAAGCAGCACTAAGTCTGTTCCGTCTTAAACTTTTCAGAATCTTTTCGAATAGCAGAAACTCTACCGATGACAAGTTATGGTATCAATAATGATGATTAGTTCTACACTTTGTATATCAAAACATTGGATATTTTAGAAATTTACATAAATGTTCTTTAATTTATTCTTTAAGAAAACATGTTAAGTTTGCTGTCAAGGGAAAAAGTATATTTATGCTGGGGATTTCTGCAGTTGGAGAAAATCATCATATAGACATACATCCGAAGAAGTTCCTCTTTAAGATTATATCCCCTGCTGTGAAATTCCCCTCCTACTCCTTGTGTTGAAGACGCCACGTGTCTTGTCCGTTTGTCTGGCTCACCGTACTCGTATGTCGACACTCGACTTTATCAGCGGGTTTGGCAACTCTGAGGACTTCCCTTCTCCGGAAGTCTGATCTTTCTCAGATTGCTCAGGATCAGAAAGGATGAAAATTTGTGCCGACGTTTCCCTAGCTCCATTTCTAAGTGTCTATTTTGGATCTGAAATTTTGTTTGCATGTTACTGGAACCTTATATTTATAAAGTCTATTTCTCTATGATATTCAGTATTGATTTCTTCACAATCAATTTTTTTTACTCTGGGCGATATATCTTATGATTCTTTTTCAAAAAATATCATTTAAAGAAAGCAGAATAATGCAAAAATTTGAAATAATCATGCGGAAGTGATTAAAAGCATGACATTTCTTTTTACATTGTTAATTTAATGCGAGTAATCTTAATTTCCTTGTATACTCAACATAATCGTATACCACATGCCTAAGACATGTTTCAATATTTCTAGATTGACATTCACAAAATTCAATTTTATGAATAAAATTAAACACTACTCTTTTTTGGTAGAAATTTGATAATTTGTGAACATTAAAGCAAAATAGGTTTTCCGTCATTAGAAATGATGAATTGTAGGAAATACGAGGTAGCGTTATCCTGTTATTTTATTATTGTATCAATTTTTTAAAAATTACTGAATAAAAAGAATGTGTTTGATGCATTAAAATATAAAAGAAGTATATGCATAGATAAAATATAGCTGCTTAGAAAATTAAGACACGTAAATATGTATATATAGTTTAGAGTAATGAGAAAATGTAGCAGTATATACCTGCTTCTCTTTCATTAAAGTTTAAATAGGTAAATTATTCTAAGCTGCTAATAACTTTATTAAACCGTGTTAACAATAATTCTGTGACAAAAACTGCTTATTTCGTAAAAGACTAACTGCGTATTATCAGCCAAGTTTAAGGTTCTGCTTTAATTGTCAATCTGTACATAAATACTATACCAAATTTTGTATAATGTAACATGAAGAGCTTCAAGAAAAGCGATGCTTTGTCGGAAAAATAAGATTAAGTGGCAAGTCTATTTAACATTGAGGTAAATGGCTGTTTCGCTAAATTGACGAGATATCGCTAAGCTGGCATGGATTTTGGTGAATATTTTTGTCACCAAATTTGGTGAAAACTTGCCAAAAATCGCAAAACTCAGCGACTTTTCATAGTACTCCAAAACAAGATAAATATACGGAGTCGTGGTGGTAAAGTTATTTGAAGCCATTTTTTTCCTTTTGAAAACATACAGACTCCCCGTGCACCGCATATGCACAACACGGGGCTTACAGAAGTAAGTTAACTAAAACATTAAAAGTTGCATGCATAAATACAACGAACAAAAGCAGAGAACTTCACGAAAACAGATAAGTTCACTGGCCAAGTCACTCCGAACATTTTCAAATCGTTCTGTAAGCATAATCTAGAGCCATCAAATGTAGGGCATGAGAAAATCAAATGTTCCACATCCTGAGGCACTCTTTTTGAACATTCACATAAATTGTTTGATCTTAGATTAAAACGAAACAGGTAACTTGCAAATTTACCGTTACCAGATAAAAACTGAGACACTTTAAAATTTACAGAGAGGAAAGACTCGGAATGCAGTCTATGGTAAATAGAAGGAGAGAACTTTTTGGTGACCTCAGCATTACAAGATGAAATATATTCCTCATTCCACATAGCTAAAAGCGACGGGATTATCTAAGTGGGGCTGTACGCCGGAGTTTTACCACAATCGCAGACACAACCGCACATAGCAACTTCCTCTTGCTATGTGCAAGATGCCGAAGATCACTAACAGCTCGACAATTGGCTTCTCATCTCTCTGCTGCTGTGCAGGACGTTTCATATCACGCCAAACTATGTCGCTTTGACTACATGAAGGCGAATTGTACCCACGAAGATCTGTAGTTTGTGTTTCTTTGTCCTTATCGCATATCAGAGTGCGGTTGAAATGGGCCCATGAACATCGCAGTTGGACACCAGAGCGGTGGGGCCTCGTACTAGTTTCGGCTGATTTTCGATTTTACATCGAGAACGATTTCCGAAAGGGCAATGATATGACGATAGCCAAGGACACGCTATCGAGCGCCAAACATCGCCGAAAAGGACAATATCGTCGAAAATTAGAGTAGGAAGTTTTTTTATATGGACTAGAATTGCAACGGACGTCCGCACCGACCTCTACGTTATTCCTGGTGGTTCCGTTCCAACCGTCCGATACCGCGACGAAATTCTATACCCTCCTATGCGTTCTTTTATCGCTGCAATAGGTACCGGCGCGTATTTATAGACGATAACACGCGCCAGTTTACAGCTCAAGTGGTGCGCAGTTATCTGGATAGTGAAACCATTCCACATCTGCTTTGGCCTGCTTTATCACAGGACCTGAATTATTGGGCTGCCCAACATCAGACTGCATACTTTAGCTTATGTATATTCTATATTTGTGTGTATTACACCTTTGTAAAATTTTTGCTTATTGTCAAAACTCGCCCTTGTTTGGCCCTGGCTTTTGGTAAAGGGACAGTGCCCACGTCCTTCGTTGCTTATCGCTTATCCCATAGAGCATGTGTGGGACATATTGGGACCACAGAAAGCAGGTCATAGTGTGCCGTTAAACACCTTCCACGAGCTCCGACGTGCATTACTATAGTAATGGGCGCTACTACAATAAGCGATCAACGACACTATTGCCAGCGTGCCTCGCCGTTGTCAAGCGTGCATTTTAGCTAGAAAGTATTATGTTCGTTATTAGCTTGATCTTTCCATTGCACATTCTTCTGACCCATTTCGTCTTTCGCAATTTTATTTTCGTAATACATGTGTTTTTGTATGTCCTTGCCTTATTGTTTGCTACGTGGTCTAGCAACGCAAAAGCAACCTCTTGGATCAATTTGACTCATGTCCGTTTTTTGTTTTATTCCGTGTTTTGCCTTCGTTGCTTATTTTTAGAGCAGGTGTATCTATATTATTTTACGGTCTTTTAATTGAAGTGCTTCTAATCGGGTCAATTTAGAAAGCGTCAAATTCGCAAAGTTTACAAATTTGTTTTTATCATAGTTGTAGTTCTACAAGCAAAGACTTCTACCATTTTTGAATTAGATAACCAATAGCGAAAAATATTTTCAGGATGTTGTAGGTGTATTAAGAACTTATATTTCTATTGCAACTGAATTATTATAATGCATATAAAGGAAAACATTTTGATTTTTATTTCGTATGTAACGAATATCAAACTATTTTATAATAAAGTAGAATTGACATGTACATAAGTAATGTTTTTTTTTTCTTTTAGTAGATTAAATTTTGAATTTTGTGTAAAGATTATCAACGTAATTTTTATTTTATTTACTCTTTAAATG